AAAATTTACATTATTAAAATTGCATTTATTCTTCTGGAGACATCACTGGCTGTTTTCTAAATGGATTGGTGTTTTTTAAATGTACTTCTTTAACAAAAAAAGGAAAATATTTAGAGGTGTTTGTCATTTATAGGATATTATGCAATGGTTTGACTGGTCTGTTCCACCTGCAATCAAATCGGACTGTATGTGTATGTGGCTCTTGCATTCTTCCTACAAAAAGTAATGCACCAAAATTTGTATATATCCCACATAAGTGTGAGCCAGTAATTTGTGTGTAACCTACAAATTTAGGAAGACTGCAGCAAAATGACTAATGCCCTGATGTGTGTAAAGAAAGAAGCAGTCCCACAAAGTGGCAGGTTGTAATGGTGGATGAGTCACAAAGCTTTGGACTTTCCTCAAGAGACTGGTGTTAGGAAGCATGTTAACTTTGAGTCATTTTTAGGTACGGCATCACCATGTGTCTTTTCCAAAATCGAACCTGTGTACCTTTATTTTCTAAAGCTAAAGACACCCAACCATGGTTCTTCTCCTAAACCTAACCACATTAACTTTACTTGCCTAAATCTAACCTCTGTAATTAAGTACAAAATGTCATTCTTGGGATGCAAATTCGTAGAATATCACGCAAACCATATGAAGATATCTGGCCTAAAACTTGGGTGGACAGCTATTAACAGTTACAACCTAATACTATAATACAAAAGCAAAAAATGACATGCAATAATAAAAAGTTTTTTACAATCGACCAAACATTTACTTTCGTCCGCCTTGTGTCTGCATATATGAGGTAAATTCGGCATCACAGTACCAAAGTTTTTGCTTTCTGAGTTTCGACCATCACGTGAATTTTCCCAGCCGGGAACTCATTTTTCCGATTATTCCAACACCACATGAATGCAAAGTAATGCTCACCAGTCATACTGGAAGACTCCACTGACAAGTAATATTGAGGGACTTGAGTGTATTGCAGCCAAAAAAATGTTGATTAAAGGATGCAACTTTGCCCTTTTTTTCTGTACTGGAAACACTTAATTTCTCAGGAATGTTCTTTCTGTTGTTGTCGGGAATCAGTTTGTGAAACGTTGCAAACACAGGTAAATGAGAGAGGAGGTAGATAGATGAACCAAACGAGCAGTAATTACGACAAAATAACCTGACAGATTGATGGCACATGAGAGTAAAAGTATCCAAGTGTGGAATTTCCTGTCAAAGCCAGAGCTGTTAAACTTGTCCTTGGATCCAAATGAGAAATTTAGCTTTAGATCCATAAAAACTATATTGCCACTCACGTCATGTGGTGACCAGAAATAAGCCCGTGACCCACAGCCTCACAGAAACTTGGCTTCGGAGCGATAGGTTGCAGCTCACGCTTTGGCCCGAAATGCTCATTGTAATACACCCCGATGTTGAGACTAGCCATAGAAACAGCATTGTTTTTCCAAACATTTCTCCCTTTGGTATTTGCTGTATTACTCCTGATTTTTTGTTTAGCCCTGTAACACATCTCAGAGGCTCCTTATGAATACCATAAGTTATGTATTTGGTGTTACCCTTGTAGATTCATGCCAGGGGACATGTCGGACTTGGAGCTAACTGTGTGTGTTGGATCAGAGAGAGAGAGAGGAATGGAGTCGGCTCCATCACCACACACCAGAGCTCAGAGCCCTATAAGCCCTTCACTTACAGACCAACCACGAAGACTCCGACCCAACCGTCACCACATGCCTGCTGAGGAGGGAGGAGGGAGGGAGAAGCATGGAAATTAGCTGGGGGATCTTTCACAGTTGCACCACTGGCATTCCTCATCGCTTAGATTTCTATAACACAAACTAAGCCCGAGCTTTGAATCTCCTCTTTAAACTCAACAAAAAAAAATTGGCAGGGCATTTCTTTTTACAGCGGAGGTTATTAAATTCCATTTTAGCGTTACAGTAGCATTTGAATTTAATAAAGGACACAAGACAAATAGGTTTTCCTTTCCCTCCCATTTCCCTCGTTTTATATACAATGTGCACTGGCATGCTATGAGGACTCTCAGTCAGACTCTGGTCAGGGTTTGTTGATCTTTTTTAGGTACTACCTCGTCTCCTCAGCCTCTGAGTCATCTAAGTAGGGGTAAAGATCAAGAGGAAGAGGGCAGCCCAGTCCTGTGAGGGCCAAAGTGTGCCTAGAATACCTCTACCACTGATGATAATAACAATCACAGGGCCAAAGGCAACATCCAGGACTGAATGCAAACACATGGCTACCATAAGACAAAACTCCGCTAACTGTTTGTTACAGGATACTGAACTTGGACTCTTTTTTTTTTTTCGACTACCGCAGCCAAAATATTCAATAAATTAAAGGTTAATTCCAGTATATTACAAACTGAGTCTTATTTTCATACTTGGTCCTCATTTCTATCAGTAATGATAACATTGTACTCACCAAAATAATTCGTAAGAATCAGGATTATGGTGATATAAAACAACGGGGCAAGAAACGAGTGGTCAGATTATCAGACCAGTTTCGCCTAATTAGCTAAACTACTTTATTCAGAGATAAAATTGTTTTTTCTTCCAAAGTTTGGCTAACCCGGGCATTTATTAAAACTGTGTGATTGTCTCACTTCTTATGTTGCTTGCCCTTCCAGATCTCTTTTTAGCAATCTTCCTGAGTACCCAGATGTCAGCAATAGACCCTTTTCACTGAGGATATTTTGACATGTTACAGAGAAGCACAGGTGTTAGTAATAAAAAATCAATGATGGCTGAATTTCATTTTTCTGCTTCGGTTATTCATGCTGGCGCACTGTCACACTGTCATGGCTTACTGGGACACTTGAGGACAGAGCCATCCTCGCTGTTGTTAGTAACGTGTGCTTTTTCCTATGGCAAGTCAAATGTCGATGAAAAAGGCCTGTCAGCTTTGGAAGTACAATGTTACTACTACGCTAACTGCTACAAACTGCTGTTTTTAAATGAGACATAAGGGCAAGAAAGATGTATTTAATGTCTGGTGTCAGGCAGTAATGTGGTATTTAGAAATGTGTAATGTGAGAACTTTTGTCAGTAATTAGTGTAAGGGTTTGCAATTCTTCTACTGCTGGGGTCTTCAACATTTTTTCAGGCTAAGGACCTTTTAGCTGAAAGAAAGACAGCAGGGACCCCTATACTACATGCACAGGCAGGTGCCAGTTGTCAGGCAGAGGGCCATATCAGCCTCAGTCTGCAGTTTTGACCTGTATTTGCTTTTTCATGTAGGTTAGGGATTAAACTTCCAACAAGGATAACTTGTTGCAGCAGGCAAAAACAGACATATTTTAATTTTTGAAAAGAAAAAAAAATTATTGAACAATAATTCTGCAGCTCCCCTGCAGTAAATCAGAGGACCCCTCAGTGGTCTCAGACCCCCAGTTCAAGAGCCAAGGCTCACTAGGATAAGTGACTGTAGTGTGGTTACAGAATTACCAGTTGCAATCCCTTACACTACTAATTACTGACAAAAGTCATCCAATTTTGCAGGCATGTCCAAAGCCTGGCACGCAGACTGATTTTAAACAGCCCGCAGCTTGTCTTTCAAAATATACTATATGTGACATACTATATTTGCATTTTTACACAGGCAGAACTAATGTGTTTTGTTAAGCAGAAGGTAAACAAGCAAACAGTTACCTAGCAGCAGACATTTCCTGCTGTGCAGCAGAGAGGCCACAGCAAAAATGTTGACAGCTGCTTTCAAGATTGGTGGAAGGTTGACTATTTAGTCAGTGAAAAATGAAACAGTTGCAACTGTCTTATTTGTATGTGATTTTTGAAATAACCCATGTGATGTAGGTATTTTCACATTATTGAATCTGGCCCCCATTCAAAACAATTTGGACACCTCTGCATTACTGTAATGTGAATTTACATTTCCTAGGATAGCAAAGGCATGACCTACCCTACTCTCCCTCTGTTTGGCTAGTACTTGTTGCCTCAATTGTTTGCAGGGGTTGGGTTTAGGCAGGAGGAGTGGGGCTGGTTAGGGTTAGGGTAAGAATGTCAGGGTAAACCAATCAAATGGCGGGCCATGCCTTCGTATACTAGGAAATTCAGTTCGCAGACCCCGTTAGCTTGATGCAGGGGTTGAAGATGCAGTTAGCATCTATTGCCTCCCAGTTACAACGTTTTTTTTTAAGTTTTCATGTAGTGTGGGTTGCTAACATTAGCTGCTGTTTAGCCTGCATTTAAGAATCAACTGTTTTCGGTCAGAGTTGGAGGGTGTGTGAAGCCCACAGCATCACTGTGAGGATTGTAAAGCAGTTGTGTGCAGTCATGTGGAGCTAATGTTAAGCTAGCTGGTGATGTTCAGTTAATATATCCAAACAAGGCTGGCAGCTTGTTAAACCAAATTCTTTTTTTTTTTCTTTTTGTTTGTTGCTTTTACACTGTCATGTGATACAGATTACCTCGTAGTACACACAAAAAGGAAAAACAAGCAATTAAAATGAAACTGTATAGTAACTTTTCCAACCCTGCTGTAAGGCTACAAATACCAGTGGTATGACAGTAATGTGGCTATTATTTCGGTCCTGCGGGACGGTCTCCCAGCTTCAAGGACCAAGCGCAGAGGGAGAGTCCAGGCTGTTTAGGAGGAGGCAGCGGATGAGAGGAAATTACTTTCCTGAGGTTAATATAGCCTTGCGGTTTTCCTACAGTAGCCGCTCACAGACTCCCTCCCAGTCTGCGCTGACATGGTCACTCCATCAATGCCAGCAGCTAATGTCATGTTTATCTCCCTCTAATCGCAGATTTAGCCCACTAATTACAAAGCAAAATCAAAAAGGCTTCAAGGCAAGTGAGGCATCATCACAGGAATGCTATGAGAATTATGAGAAAGTCATGGGAGTGTGTTCATTTCTTCTAATATGAAGATGTTATTTTTGAACATACAGTATGTTGGAGGTATACTCTTATATATTTAGATTACAGTTTTATTAATGGCAGTCTTTTTTTTCCTCTGTCATGCAGGAACCTGATGCCTCGTACTATGGAGGGTCAGATCACCATGGAGAAGACGCCCAGTTACTTTATCACCAAAGAAGCCCCTCGTCGCGTCTTCTCCATGAGCCGCCACACCAAGCTCATCGTGGTGGTGCGTGACCCGGTGACCCGGGCTGTTTCTGATTACACTCAGACTCTTACCAAATCTCCCGGGCTCCCGTCCTTCAAGAACCTGGCTTTCCGCAACGCCACCACAGGCCTCATCGACACATCGTGGAGTGCCGTGCGCATCGGCATCTACGCCAAGCACCTAGAGAACTGGCTGCGCTTCTTCCCACTCTCGCGCCTCCTCTTCGTCAGCGGGGAACGCCTTGTGACGGACCCGGCGGGCGAGATGGGCCGAGTCCAGGACTTTCTGGGGCTCAAACGCGTGGTGACAGACAAGCACTTCTACTTCAACCAGACCAAAGGTTTCCCCTGCCTAAAGAAGCCTGAGGGGAGCAGCAGGCCGCGCTGCCTGGGGAAGTCGAAGGGCAGGCCCCATCCCCAGATCCCCTCTGAGGTCCTGCATCGGCTCAGAGACTTCTACAGACCCTTCAATCTCAAGTTTTACCAAATGACTGGCCACAATTTTGGCTGGGACTGAACGGCTACTCGCCAAAGCTCTTAAAAACTGTTAGTAGCATTCTTGTTAAGCCAACTACCAGAACCAGACAGGGATATCTTGAAGACGTTGTGTGTTACCAAAGCTTTTACTGTGCAAAATATGCCTTTCCTTCATTTCTTAAGCTATGAAAACTCCCGCCTTCCTCCAGATTTACAGCCATGCTAGCAAAGTTTGTGAGAGCTTCGATCCCCTGAGCCACTTTAGCAAGCAGTGCTGAGGAAAAGCTTGTGAGAAGTGCTGGTTGCTGCTGCTGCAGTGTGACGAGTGACGAGCACTTGGCACCCCGAGTGCCAGAGGTACACTGAGCTCTTATTGCTGTCCAGAACACTTAAAAGCACAGCCTCTATATTGAAAATAGCTCCACAAAGACGCTAACACTGCAAAGAGATGTGCCTAAAGTTAAACCAAATGGCAAAAGAGTAACAAGCCTTGACAGCCTGGCAAAGCTACGATAAACCAGCTCTGCTTGAAAAAAGAAAACACTCAGAGAAAAGAAGCAAAGGGGTTTTGAGTTATGCACAATGGCACAATCAAAATAAATGTAAATGTGGGTTATTGAGATATAAAGTAATCATTCAGACTCATTTAAATCCGTTTATACAGTGTATGCAGTTCTTTTTTTCTTCAGTTCTTTCGATGCAATCTCCATTTCTGGACTGTCTTTAATAAAAATTAGATGTAGCAAACGCAGGAGGATACCTGGTACTGGTGCAAAAAGATACCATAAATATTAAACAGTCCACCATGTGCTGTAAATTTGCTGTTATTTATGTCGTCAATACAATGCTTGTATAAAATGTTCTCTGCAAACAACACCTGTATCTGTGAATGTTCTCTACTTCATTTAATCAACATTCACCTCCACAAACGGTACTTACATGCAACTGTATATTTCTAAAAGCTTAATTTATAAGATGACAAACTATTGTTGAGATGTTTTCTCTGAGACCTTTTTTGTATATGAAATTCTGCTGGAACTTCTGACTAAAACTTTTATTCTCAAACATGTGTTTGGGGCTGATTTTTGCACCGCATTTCTGAGAAGCACTCAGTTCATCCTCTTTGTATTTATTCCAAACAAACCCATGTTGCGGCTGCCGGGAATCTAAAATACATCTGTTTAGCAGATGATTGTTTTCCTGGAAGAGACCAAGCAGACACTGGATGATTAGAAAAGAAAATGCAATTAATCACTGTTGTGTGATTTTAAGGGATGATTTAGTAGGAAAGCTGACATTTATTTACAGGGTATGGAAATCTTGTGGACTGTTAGTTTAATACTGAAGCTTTGCTTATTTATTAAACCAAGTGTTAAACTCACAAACGGCAAAAAATATCTTTTATAATCTGGGACTTAAATGAATGAGGAATATTATTCACAACAACAGTTGCAGCTAGGGTCAGCAGCCAGTTAGCTTAGCACTGGAAACAGGGAAACATGTTGCCTTGCTCTGACTGAATGTAACAGAATCCACCAACCTGCAGCTAAATGTCAGGGTGATTGCAACTTTTAAAACATTTCTCGCTGTTTCTGACATTAACTCAGTCGTTCCACTGAGTTAAAATCTGCTAAATAAATCAGTAACATTATATCAGTACAACACAATTAAAACAACAATAAGGCCTGCCACAGTTTGAAAAGCTGTTTTAAATCCTTTAAAGGGAGCCATGTTGGAAACTTAACAGCAAAACTTGCCATCATCGTCAAAGTGATTGACATTTTGGGAAATACGCTTATTGACTTTGTTGCTGAGAGCTAGGTAAGAGTGTCAATACCACTCTCTTGTCTCTTGACTATATATATAAAGCTACAGGCAGCGGCTGGTTAGCTTGGCTCAGGCTAAAAACATGATGAGCCAGCGAGCTTAGCTTTATCCAAACGTAACAAAATCAGCCTACCAGCACCTCTTAAACTCAAAAATTAACATGTTTGTTTGATTCAGATGTTGTTACCTTCAAACAGAGCCAAAATAACGTAACTCGTTCCCACTGGGGGCTGTCCATTGTTAGGACGGCTCCTAATTTTGAAACCCCAGTAGTCCAAAAAATGTCACATCTGACTGAAAACCAATTGGTTCAACAGCTGGTATCCTGAACACAAATGCTTTTGCAATTGCTCCAAAGGCCCTTTGCTCCGAATACAAGGGCTACACATTCTCCGAAACAGAACTACATGACAAGTTATCACGCAAAATGATGTCATTGGACCTTCTTACTATGCCTCTACTGGCTAGTACTTCTTTCCTTCTTGGTTTGTTTGGTTAGTTGGGTTAAGCCATGAGGAATAAGATTGGTTAGGGTAAGAAATCACAGTGAGTCAGTCAGAAGCCCTTTTTAGATGGGAATTAGGGTTAGGGTTAGGGTTGGGGGTTGGGGGTTAGGGTTAGGGGGGTTAGGGCCCAATCAGTCTTCTTTCAGCATTGGCAGTATAAAAACAAAATGCCGCCTACCTACTTTTGTTTATACAGAATGCACCTTTTTCGGGGCAATGGGGGGGCGTGAGCAAGTAAAACGTGTAGCTCAGCATGTGACGTAAACAGTGACGTGGGAGGGAAGCCGCGGTTGGTCAGTCCTTCGGCGATTTTCTTGTAAGTCGGCCCGTTCTTCACTGTCCCCGTCATCTGACAGTAAATGGTCTCTTTGTTTGCGAGGGCAAGAAGGGCGCGCAATTCCTTGTCTCCCCAGTTGCTCATCTTTACAGTGTCTGTCAGTTTTGCATTTCCCTCTTGCTACTAGCTGCTCGCTAATTCCTGCTATCAGCTGTTTCCTGTTTATCCACTGCAGGTGGCTCGCACGTGCGGCGTCATCAACAGCTCCTCCCACAAGTCTTCAACAGCCCCTCCCGTTGCGGAAGGCCGCCTCGGTCTGTTTAAACTAAAAGGGTTCCACCAATATGACTACCCTACAAGGTGGAAAATTGGGCACCTCGGATCAAGTGTGTTTAATTGCTCTCAGCTTGCCAGCAAAACAGCCCAACATTTGCGGAAAATCTGGCAGTGTAAAAGTGGCTAGAGGCATGGTAGGAAAAATAATATTGCTGAAGTTACAGTAGGCTGTCGGATCTCATGTCCTACCAGCTTTACTTCCTGTTTAACGGTTAACGTTCTTTCTTAACCAGAGAATTTGGGTGCGGTTAATAGTCACACATAGTGTTAATCCATTTCTATAGCAATGAGATAGCAGCTACAGTATTGGAAAACAGCAATATGGCACAATTCAAATAATGTACTGTTTATCAGAGCACTAATGAGGTAACAATTAGCACAAATCACTGACTAATTCTTTTTATGTCTTTTGGTTATTCTAATGGGACTTCTCAAATTTTTAACTGAAAGTTGTGCACTTCCCAGCAATTGTTGGGAGCCGCAGCTGCTGGTGGATGCTGCAAACTCTGAACATGTCCTGAAACTGCATTTCAGACAGTGGACCTTGGTGCACCGAGAGACTAGAGCAAATGAGAGAGGTGTGCTGTGCTATTTTTGTTGGTGGGATTTTATGTAATTCACTTCATTTAATGCAGCCGTTCAACACACAGAGGCTGTAAATGCCAATATGGAAATAAACAACACAATAAACTTAGGTGGAGGGCAACTCCACAGAGAGGGATAATGAAGGCTATCGTGCTACAATTATGGTAAAACACAAGATAGAATGACTGGCTAAGTGTTTGATGTTTATAACAGTGCACCTGCACAAGCTTGGAGGACAAAATATATGACAAACAGTGTGGCTAAACAACAATGTCAGGACATTCATTCAGGAAAATATGAAATATCATAACAATACCTAAATACACTGGGTGCTTTAGTCTAACAATCTTTCTTCCCTGGTTCCCGCATTATACTGTTCCATGCAGCAGTAATATTATGAGGGTAACAAAGACTTAATTCTCAAAGAAGAATGAACTACTCACGTTTCTTCACAGACTCACAGGGATGATAGGTTTGCAGATTGGAGGTCCAATGTTTGGAGCAGCCGAGTTGTGTAATTGGTGCTTTACCATCAGGTTCGACAGCCATGTATATTCAACATATATACACAGATGCTCCAAATCAACTGGGGGAAAGATGGTGTGAAACATTAGTGGAAGCAGGGCCGACTGATTGCAGGCCGTGAATCTTTCTAACTTCAGTGTGCATTTTTAAAGAGACAGGCTTCAGGAGCAATGGCTATTTGTTCTCGCGGGTACTGTTGGACAATGGGCTTTAGGTCCAATGGGAAAATTTGAGGGATATTGGGATTTCTGAATAACGAGCCATCAGAACAATGGTATGGCACCTCTTATGCCTGGCTATGGCTTTATTGGACACACAGATATGAGAGTGGTTTCAATCTTCTTTTCCTTCTATCAATCTATCTTTAAGCACAAGTGAGCAGTTAGTCAGTCTTTGGCAAGCACTTCCCAGTTGCAGGAGGTTGGTGGTTGGAGTGGACTACTGATTGGGGTGGTAAAGGTGGGGTCATATGGCTGCAGGGGCTAAATGTGAAGTTAACTCACGGACAGTGGCTTTTCTGATGTGTAAGCAATCAATTCACTGCTGTGATTGGAGACCTTTTGGGAATGGACAATCTTTGACCTCTTCACTCCCCCTTGACCTGTGAGCCTGGCCGCCATAAACTGCTGACCACTACCGCCAGTCTGCCAAGCTGGTTAATGGAGTCACCCTGCATGAGCTATGAGTGTGGATGCACGCTCTCACACACAAATAAACACACACACACACACACACACACACACATGCATACAACAACTCCCCCCTGATCCATTAATATTGCATTCTCAACCTCTGGGACCTCCACTGAGGGGAGATGGTACGGATCAATAACTGCCTGTTTAGTTTATAGGCGGTGGGGATATGTGCTTATACGTACCATGTCCCACTGTCACTGTGATTTAACTCAGGGGTCGAGCACGGGTCGCTATCATACATTTGTAAAATATTATTTAACACCTGATATATCTTCCATACATCTGTAATCGATGCAGGACCTAAACACACATACACAGGGGAGCACGCAAGGACGCTGGACCAGAGTATGGCTTTAATCTTTCCCCGATTCCTGGTCCATCCATCTAGTTTCTCATTTACGTGGTTGTTAAATGCACGTGTATGACATTTATATTTATGTTTATAAATGTATAGTTTTTTCTGTTAAGGTAACATAGCAGATGAACTTAACCTGTTTAGAGCCAAATTATGTTCCAAACACAAAAATATTGTTAAAGTGAATTTCTACTCTTCATGCACTCATTAATCATCAGCAAAGAATAATTTTCTCTCTCCATCCCAATAGACAGAGTATCTGAATGCATGTAACCAGGTAATAGTAAAAATGGCAATAAATAATCTTAATACACCTTTTTTCAACAAAAAGCAAGAGTTTATTTATTATTCATGACTGGTTACCTCATCAATTTCATATACATATATATATTTTCTATATTGTATTTATCATCACGACTCAAAATATCAAAACAGTATGTTCAAAAATTCCTGAGATGGATATTCTGTGTACATAAGCAGCAGCATATTTGTATCCTGTGTATATGCATACTAAGCTGATTGTATCATTAGAAAATGAAATCTAGAACAGTAGGCCTATTTCCCCATTTAAACTGTATTTCCCCTATCCATTTTCCAGTGACATTTAGATCTCTGGATCATTCCAATGGATGGATTTTTTTTTTTTTTTTTAAGGAATCTTGAGTAAAAGCTATAAATCTTTCATACCATGTTTTGACATTTATAATTAGCATCTTATGTTTACTTTAAAAGCTGTTTAAACACAAATTATGTCCTTCAACAATATGATTTATAGATTAAAATGCCTTGTGCTTCCTCCGAGCCTCACAGTCAGCCATGCTTGTTGAAAAAGGGCGCATGGTTCTACTGCAGACCACTTTGGATATTGTAGAACAGTGTGATTGGCTCCACTCAAATAAGTCTTTGCATTTGGGTGGAGTCAGAAGACAGTGATCGTAGATGTAGACATCCTGTAAAAGTTATGTC